GTACTCCGATGTCTTTTGACGTCTTCCGACGTCAATCCAACGTCCTTAAAACGACGTCGGAACAACGTCGTAAGACATCGCTGATGAAAATTTAATCCAAACCCAACAATATGTGTGCAATTGCGCTCTTCAATAATTATGTGAACTAAGCGTGTTTTTTTATTAATGGAAAAAAGTTTGAATAAAGGTTGATAAAACATCATGAGGTTTTGTATGATGCACTAGCATAGTTTTTTAACTATTAACATTTTCGAGTATACATTTTTTATAATACATAACTATTCGTTTTAATATTTATATAATATTTAAACAAAATTATTTCTTATCAAAGTAATAATTCCCAAATAGCTACAAGTATAAATTACTAAATAAACTCACAATTAAGAAGTCCTCGTGGTGTAGTGGTAAGCGCATAGGATTTAGTAACTAATAGGCCGAGGTTCGATTCCTGCCAAAGGCAGCGTTTTTTATTTTTCAAAAAACACGTTGGATTTACATCGGAATGCCGACGTCGCGCGATGTCAGTTTATCCGACGTCAAATAACATTTCCATTTCCAACGTAAACCCAACGTCGATCCGACGTCGAGATCCGACGTCGCTCGACGTTCGTTCGACGTCGAAATGCCCACTGGGTAAGATACTTGAAAACTGTGTTGATTGAATTAGCTATTAATCAAACAAATTATAACGGTAAAAGTTTTTTATACATAATGTTATTAAAGTAGAAAATATCTGGACTAAAAAATGACTGGAAATGTATGTACTAAAAAAAAATGTTGGTTAAAAATGAGGATATGCGTAGTCATTAAACCAGAATATCTAGGGACTATCATATTCCTCAATACAATAATAATATAAGACAATTTTCTGTAAAGGAATTAATTGTATAATAGTTTGCCACCTTTGATGAAGAATTTTAAGAAGAGGAAATTCGGAATAGAAGTTGTAATATATATATATATATATATATATATATATATATATATATATATATATATATATATATATATATATATATATATATATATATATATATATTATTTTAAAACATCAAAAATACGATTTCTCTCAACACTTATAATTTTTTTATTATTATAGAAATTTTCGCTGGATTTTAGATACCAGCTTCTTCAGCTTGTTAAATGTTACAGTAATTAATAAAATCGTTATAATTTAAATTAAAACGTTGCTATTGACGTCAGCTGTTGAATGGCTTCTTTTTCGCTGAAATTTAAAAAATGGCGTCCAAAACTTAGTTTTTACGTATTGACCCTCATCGAGATTAATCCCGCCATTTTTTGCAGAACACATGTTTTTTTGTATTTCTAGGGCTTCCCTAACTTTTCTTTCAAATTTTTTATTTTCTACTTTTAATGTTTTTGTTTGTTCCCAAATAATTTCTTTTTTGCAAAATGTTTTATGCAGAGCTAATGCGGATTGATGCTGCTTATTTTCATCAATGCTTTTTTGGTGTTGATGCATTCGTGTGTTTACTTTCATTTTTGTTTCGCCTACATACACTTTTGAACAGTTGCATTTGATTATATATGTTCCCGGTTGACTGTTATTAGGTAGTTTTGATTTATTTTTTGATGTTAACAGGGATCTTAAGTTTGGGTTTGATTTGAATACCGCTCTGTAACCAGCTTTTCGGAATATTTTCCTAAGTTTTGGTGAGAGACCGGGTACCCATGGTAAGGAAACTACAGGATAATTATTGATTTCAGATGGAATTGTAATTTTATTTTGTCTTTTGTGTTGAAACTGATGCGCAATATTCATCATTTGAGTTTTATCGTAACCATTTTCAATAAACACGTCGATTAGAAAATTTATTTCATTTTGCAAGTAAGACTTACTACAGATTGAGTAAGCTCGGTGGAGAAATCCTTTAAAAATAGAGTTCAAGATATTTGGATCATGATTTGAGTGTGGCTTAATTTGAATGTTAGTGATAGCATCTTTCCGATATACTGCGTATTCATACTTTCCTGTTTTTTTATTCATAATTTGTATATCCAGATAATTTAGTGTTCCTAACTCGTTTTCAACTTCAATTGTATACTGGATGGAAGGATGTTGTTGATTTAAAATGTATTGGAAATGTTTTGCTTGGTTGAGATCTGGAAACCTTGCGTGACTATCATCGACATATCTTAAGAACGATTTGAGGTTAAGTGCAGGGTTGAAATTTAGTGCAACTTTAATTGCATTGTTTTCATGGAATTGTAGAAATGATTCTGCAAGAACGACCATGAACGAAAGTCCAATTGGACCCGAGTTTTCCATTATATGAATTTCATTGTTCCAATGAAAATAACATTGAAATAAACAAAGTTCTATAAGTTGTTTTATCTCAGGTATACTTAGTCTTGTTAGTTTTTTATATGTTGTATTATTATTTAATTTTTCTATAAGTACAAGGGTGGCTTCTTTTAAAGGAACCGACGGATACAGATTTACGACATCAAAAGATACCTGAACTTCATCATTGTCAATTTTCCAAGATTCAGCTTTTTTAATAAAGTCAAAGGAATTTTTTAATCTTGTCAAGTTTTCATTCAAAACTGGTTGTATTATCTTAACTAAGAACTCAGATATTCCGTAGTTTGCTGTGCCAATTGTGGAGATAATTATTCTCATAGGATAGAATTTTTCAGGTTTGTGGGCTTTGATTACACCATACATACGAGGCGGGATGGGATCACTAGGATATATTTTTTCGTATTCCTCTTTTGAAAAACAGTTTCTTTTATTTAGTTTTGAAAGACATCTACGAATTTTAGCCGCGTAATTTGCAGTAGGGTCTTCACTTACTATTTTTGTTGGGCCTATTTGTTCGCGAATTTTTTCCAAGGCTTTTGAATGTTCGATTTGTACAAAACCTGTCCCTTTGTCGAATGGATATATGTCAACGTTTTTTTCCTCTTTTATTTCTCTATAAGCTTTCCATTGTTCTTTTGTAAGATTATTATTTAATTTTTTTCCGGTTTTTAGTTCTCTTAAAACATTTTTCCTTAGGTCTTGGGCATTTTCAATTTTATTGTTGTATTCTAATTTTAACGCAGAGACACTATTATTTACCATGGGTACCCGGTCTCTCACCAAAACTTAGGAAAATATTCCGAAAAGCTGGTTACAGAGCGGTATTCAAATCAAACCCAAACTTAAGATCCCTGTTAACATCAAAAAATAAATCAAAACTACCTAATAACAGTCAACCGGGAACATATATAATCAAATGCAACTGTTCAAAAGTGTATGTAGGCGAAACAAAAATGAAAGTAAACACACGAATGCATCAACACCAAAAAAGCATTGATGAAAATAAGCAGCATCAATCCGCATTAGCTCTGCATAAAACATTTTGCAAAAAAGAAATTATTTGGGAACAAACAAAAACATTAAAAGTAGAAAATAAAAAATTTGAAAGAAAAGTTAGGGAAGCCCTAGAAATACAAAAAAACATGTGTTCTGCAAAAAATGGCGGGATTAATCTCGATGAGGGTCAATACGTAAAAACTAAGTTTTGGACGCCATTTTTTAAATTTCAGCGAAAAAGAAGCCATTCAACAGCTGACGTCAATAGCAACGTTTTAATTTAAATTATAACGATTTTATTAATTACTGTAACATTTAACAAGCTGAAGAAGCTGGTATCTAAAATCCAGCGAAAATTTCTATAATAATAAAAAAATTATAAGTGTTGAGAGAAATCGTATTTTTGATGTTTTAAAATAATATATAAATATACTCTCACACAAGATGTTATCCTTTAAATATATATATATATATATATATATATATATATATATATATATATATATATATATATATATATATATATATATATATATATATATATATATATATATATATATATATATATATCCATATAGTGTAGTCGAAAGAGCGTTTTAATGTTAAAAAAGTCTCTTACGACTACAATTTTAATTACCTCGTCTCTTAAGCTGTATTTGATTGTCGCCGAAATGTCAAAGCAATTAAATTAATGCGGAAGTACATTAAATTTTATTGTTTTTTAAAATTTTTTTAAAAAACCGACTAGAAAGTTTTTTTTTATTAGTGATGTTTTTGTTTTTATTTTATTAAAAAACATTTTTAAAACATGCGTAAATGTTGCTACATCGACTATCTTATATATATATATATATATATATATATATATATATATATATATATATATATATATATATATATATATATATATATATATATATATATATATATATATATATATATATATATATATATATATGTATATATATATATATATATGTATATATATATATATATATATATATACATATATATATATATATATATATATATATATATATATATATATATATATATATATATACATATATATATATATATATATATATATATATATATATATATATATATATATATATATATATATATATACATATATATATATATATATATATATATATATATATATATATATATATATATATATATATATATATATATATATATATATATATATACAAGGCCGGCGCGATAGGGGGTTGTGACACCCCCCCCCCCCCCATCAATGGTTTTTAGTCGGCAAATTGAACCCTTAGTCGGCAAATTGGACCCTTTTAGACTAGTTAGTCGGCAAATGTCGACCCTTTCGATATAGGCTAGTCGGTAGTCTAGACAGTCGGTAAATGTCGTCATGCAGTCGGCAAATTTGGAAAAACAAGGACTATTTTTTTTTTTTTAGTCGGTAAAATGTAATGGCACCCCCCCCCCCCCCAACGGTCACCTACTTGCGCCGGCCCTTTATATATATATATATATATATATATATATATATATATATATATATATATATATATATATATATATATATCATATTATCAACCCTCGGAATTCGACAATGCCTAACTGCCGACCTAAAAGTGGGAGGCATTTTTTTGCCCGCCTCAGACTTTGTATCAAAAAGCACAGTTTTTTTTTGGAATTTTGGCGCTGTATTCTCCTCCGTAAAAGTCGGACGTCTCGCAACCCTATATATATATTTAAAGTATAAGTGTTATTCAATTTAAGTAATATAATATACTTAATGAATGTAAATAGCATACAATTGCTAACCATGTTAAAATAAAAATAGAGTACAAATAGTACTATAAATTACAGCATATTAGTAGTATTATAAATTAAAGCATATTAGTATTTATTTGTAATAAATACTAGTATACTGTAATTTACAGTAGAATAATAATAGTATACTATTACTATTCTACTGTAAATTACAGTATATTAGTATTTATTATATGTAAATAATAATGTGCTGTAATTTATAGTACTACTAATATGCTGTAATTTAATCTATATAAACTCTGTCTTTCACACACACACACACACACACACACACACACACACACACACACACACACACACACACACACACACACACACACACACACACACACACACACACACACACACACACACACACACACACACACACACACATTTATATACATATTTGTCAAATATGGATGTGGACTATTTATAAATATTTTTTATTTAAATGAAATTATAATTATTAAGGCAAGTATGGCTATTCCTTCTGAAACATGGTGTCCACCCAAAGTTGAACTGAATACATCAATGGTCAGTTAAATTACATTTGTATATTTGTAAACTCGTTTTGTATAAATAGTAAATGTGTACTGATGTATCTAAATATATTATCAAGTAAATATACCAATAATTTAAAAAAATTTCATTTGACTATCATCTTTAAGATCGTCTGTTAATTATATAGTCCTAATAGTTAAAAAACTTATTATTTTCCAGCATACTGGTGGATTTTTTTTTGTATTTGTTTCTTTATATATACAACCTTATCTTTTTTATCCAACCACCAATAAAAAGAAATATCACTCTTAACCATTGTGCCTTTCTTATAGCCATCAGCTGCAATTTGCACTATTTTCCCTGGAAAATTGCTCCTTTTTACTCTACAATTACAAAATCATCTTTTTCAAGAGTAATTGTATCTTTATCTGAAATATATTCATCTGTAGAATCTTTATACCATTCAGAATCTTCATCAATGGAAATAGATGAGTCTGAATCAGACTCTTCATGTTGTTTCTTGATTTTTTTATTTTCTCTACTTTTCTTTCATTATACCTTTATTCTTTCATTTTCAATGGCTTTTTCTTGTTTCAGTCTTTTTACTACATTCTTGTCCATTAGCTTTTGAAAGTACAATTACTAAATTTTAAAAATTTTCTGATCCATTATTTGACCGCCCTTGCAACTCTCTATAAATGGACAGTAAACAGACAATAAATAGCTTTTAATTAGTATTAAACATACCTTTTTCAAAATTCATTCAATATTTAAAATAAGAGGTACTTACCTTTTAAACTTGACATTATATGCAACTCCTTAGCAAATTGTGGAAAAAAAGCTAGAAAATTAGATAAGAGCCTATCACATTTACATTGGCTATCAGCCATCTTTGTTTGCTAAATGTTTGGAAAGTCTCCAGCCAAATGGCGAGATAGTATTTTGTTTTTAAAATCATTGTACCAGAACTACTGGCATATTTTCAATTACTTTCTCATTTACCTTAAATATATATATATATATATATATATATATATATATATATATATATATATATATATATATATATATATATATATATATATATATATATATAAATATATATATATTTAAAAGAGGCTATTCTAGGAAAATAATTAAAGTAAAGGCGCGTGGCAGCGTCTGCTGTAAAGAAAACCAAATATGGTTGGCGCTGAAAACGGTCTAGAATAGCCTTTGCATATATATATATATATATATATATATATATATATATATATATATATATTTACATATATATATATATATATATATATATATATATATATATATATATATATATATATATATATATATATATATATATATATATATATATATATATATATATATATATATATATATATATATATATATATATATATAGAGCTAATAATTTAATATTGAACAAAATGAATGAAAAAAATGTTAAGTGCTAATCCTACAAAAATGAATAGTCAATAAAATACTTTTAATAAAGCTATTTTCCTTATATAATACTTGTTAGTTTAAAAGTATTCTATAAGGAAGTTGCCACATGAAATGTACAGTTTTTCTAATTGTTTTTTTTTTTCAGAGTTCTATTATTCTCATTATTCAGTAATAACGAGACAAACTAATTTTTACGTTTAATTCATAATAGCAAATTTAATAGCACTCTTTAATAGCTTTTTGGGGATTTCTCATCCATATAAACTCCAGATAGCAAAATCAAACTATTTTATTAAAAATTTATAATAAAAAAAAAATGTCGGAGTCCTAGAAGTCCATCATTTTTGACCAAAGAGTTTCATAGATTTTTTGTGACTCTGGTCACGAAATGGAACTTTACATCCCTAATTATTAGTTATCAGTGTTGAAATTTAACCAGGGCTGAGTTTGATAAAATATAGCCAGGGCCTGGTTTATGACCATGGCTGCATAAACATTTATATATCCTAAAGTATATTTTTTTATTCAAAATTTATGATATATTTTGTATATATATGCATATATAAGCATCATTATGATCAACATGATCATCATCATCATCATAACCATCATCATCATCATCATCATCATCATCATCATCATCATCATCATCATCATCATCATCATCATCATCATTATCCAGGGCGCGAATTTGTTTCGTATTTGGACCCTGCCTCAAAAAAATTTAGCTGAAAATCTGAACGCAGATTTTCAGCTAAATTTTTTTGAGGCAGGGGAGTGCCACCGCCAAACTTTTTTTCCTAGAATAGCCCACGTCATCATCATCATCATCAGGCTTTAGCCTTCCTTATTTATGCTGTTTCTTTAATATATCTTCTTTAACAAATGTTGTTTTATACAACATTTTTTTCTAATCTGTCTAAGATTATACCTTCTTTTCATGACTTGTTAGAGTTATACCACACATCCATATTAAAATTTATGTTATAAAAATTTAATAAGTATTATAAAATTCATAAACAGAGATAATGCATCCCTGCAGAACTTACAAACAGAGCAGCAAGAATGGTTATTACAGTCGTTACTATAAATATATCCATACAATCAAAGTCTTTGCGTGAGGAGGACAACCAAAAATCACCAAACAAGCATTTAATTGTGAACGTTGCTGGCTAGAACACCATTGTGAATGTAGCTGTCAGTAATTATATCTGGACAATAAAATAGCCTTAAGTTAGTTTAATGATATTGCATTAGTATCTTTAGTTTTTAAGGTATCCCACATTCGTGTATAAATCCCAGGTTTATCAATAACTGGAAATGTAAAATTTGACCATAGAATTCTCTTATACCCATTTGGATTGTCTCCACACTGTTGTCTTAAATCCAAACTAGTTAAATTCAAATATTTAAGGCGTTCTTTGTACGATAAATCGTTTAGTTCTGAAGGGATTTTTTTTACTTTGCATTGAATTCTTTCCAGCCTTTCTATATCTTCTTCGTTAGAAAGGGACACCATATGACATTTGCATATTCTAAAAATGGCTAATCATTTGTATGTTTATTATGCTATATGTTCTTTTTATCAGACCAATAAAGGCATTTAACACTTGCATTTTTCATTTCAAAACTGATCTTATTGTGATTCCTAAATCTCTTTCTTCATTCAATGATTCTACTATACTATAAAAAAGTATCAGTAAGACTAGTGTGCCATCTACTTTATTTATAAGTAGATGGCACATTTAATTGTACATTAAATTTGTACAAAAATGATTGTGCATAATTTTGCATTTGTTGATGTTTAAGCTAATTAACCAGTCTTTATGCCACTTTAAGATGTTATTAATATTGTCTTGTAGTTATAAACATTGTGTCAAACTATTTATTTCAGCTATTATTTTTGAATCAGCATAAAATTTTGAATTATTTGAGATGATCTCATTCAAATCGTCAATGAAAATGATAAATAAATTAACCCGAGCACAGAACCTCGTGAAACACAACTCAAGACCATCATCTAAATTGATATAAAATCACCCATAAGAACATATTGTTTATGTGAATATAAAAAACCTGCAATCCACTTCAATAATTTGCATTTTATACCATAAACTGATAGTTTTAACAATAATCTCTCATGTGGTACTGAGTCGAATGCCTTAGCAAAATCTTAAAAAATAATATACACAGACGAATTTTGGTATAAATAATATGTAATCAAGTCCATAGATTCTACTAAATTGGTTATGAATGGTTTATGTTTAAAAACCATGTTGATTCTGGTTCAATAACTTTTCACCATATAAAAAGTTAAGTATGCATGACAATGAATTCATGACCTTACATACAATAGAGGTTAAAGATTCATGTCTATAGTTCTCTGCAATCATTTTACTACCCTTCTTAAATAACGGGTTTACATTCGATACTTTCCAAATATCAGGCAGTTTAGAATTATTGAACGATATATTAAACAGAATACTTAACGGTTTTGAAATAAAATGGATGTGAATTGTTTTAATATGTATCCATATAATTTAGGAAATCATTATTTATTTTTTTAATTTTTTTATAATTGTTATACTTCTTGATCCAAATAAGGAACTTTGCTGAAGAAGGTTGCTGCAGAAAAATAAAATTACACAATTCAAGTTTTTTCTTTGAAGCATGTGTCTGTTCTAAAGGTATACATTTTGCCATTAAGTACATTAAAAATAAAACTGACTAGATTAAAGAGCATTCTGAGGAACTTCTGAAATTTTTCTGTTTTTGCTCTTTTTTTAAATAAATATGGTGTTTAGCGATGTGTTGCATTGTATCCATGTCATTTTATAATTTATTATTAACATGAGTTTTGTTTTCCAAATAAACTGATATCACATTTTTTTTATTCACTTTTAACAAGGCTGCAAGCAACCACTATTAAGTTGAGAGTTACTAGAAAAAGAAAATAGAGTTATAGAGTAAGGTCAGTAGTAAATGGTAATCCAAGAAGATGTAAAGAAGAGTATTCAGTGAGAGGGTTGCCATTCATCAATATAGGAATGTCGACAGTACTATGAGTTAAAATTTACAAGCCACTGTGAGCTCAATCTATTACAGAAGTGAGATCAGATTCAATATCTAAGCGATCGAAAGAGACGACTTTTTGTCATGACAGAAGTATAAAGTTGATTCATCAGCAAAAAGAGCTATTTTAGATGTAAGGTTATTGGGAAGATCATTAATGTAGATAAGAAATAAAATTAGACCAAGGATGAAATCATGAGGTACCCCAGAAGTTACTGAAAATAAAGAACAGTGTTGACCTTTGAGGATGACTTTAATAAAGTATTTAGAAAGAAACAATTTGATAATCTTAAAAACTTTCCCAGATCCAATATATGAAACAAGCTTATGGAGAAGACCAACATGGCAAACTTTGTCGAAAGGAGGGATCAGAATGTTCACTAGAATTTTGTTTGGAAAATTGGAACAACAGATGCCATTTTCCAACGGACAGGAAAACAAGACTCAGTCAAGCACTTATTAAATAGTTTAAAGAGAATTGAAGAGAGTTCTGGAGAACAATTTTGTAAGACTGTGACAGGAATGTTGTACCACAACATTCCTGTCACAGTCCTACCACAAGCCGTAGAAGAGTTTAATCAAAATATGAATTTAACAATAGATGCTGGAGTGATTTGAATGTCTAACAATGGGTTAACCTATTTAATTGGAATCAAAAGAAGAGAATGATCTTAAGATTCGAGAGTCAAATTAGAAGAAAAGTTCTTTGCAAATAGTTCAACATTATCCTTGGTAGAAATAATAAGATCAGTCCCATGAATGAGAGATGGAAAAAATCCTTTGTTAACAACTCTGTTGAAGATATTCCAAAAGTCTCTACAGCCTAACTTCTGAGATAAAATACAAGATTTAGTGAACTGAGAATAGTGGAGATTAGCATCTGACAGCACCTTTTTATATCAATTTCTTGAAATAATAAATAGCCATTTGTTCTTAAGAGAGTTGTTCTTTTGAAAAGATGAAAAAAAATGATTACAATTAGATATAGCAGTTGCACAAGAGGGTGAAAACTATGGAGTAGAATGAGGCTTGACTTGGAACTGATGAGAAAGAATAAAAGCATCTATTCCTGCCTAAATCCAGGTAGTTACGTAGGAGGCGCATTTTTTAGCTGAGAGGAAAAAGATATTAACCCAAGGGCCGTCACAAAGAAAATCACTAAAAGGGTCCCAGCAAGGTTTAGTGCGATGATAGTATGAGTTCGAAAACGAAGTATGAGATAAAAGATTTGAAGAGATCATTGCATGGTCAGAACCACCTAAGGGAGAAAAAGAAGAAACTGAACACAAGCTAGGATCAGAGACCATACAAATCAAGGAGTGAAGATAAATGATTAGGGTTGTCAGGAAAACGAGTCACAAAGTTAACTATCTGAGTAAGAGATTGAGAAATGCAGAAGTTATAGGCTTTAGTGCCAGCAGGGTCAGTGGTGTTAGAGCCAAGCCATTCAGTGTGATGAGCATTAAAATCACCAATAACAAAATTATTGGCAGAAAGCTAGAGAGAGAGCATGGTCAATTTGATCAAAAATTATATCTAAAAGATTGCAGTCTTGGGAAGAAGGAGAACGATAAAGATCAAAGAGAAAGGTGATAGAGTTAAGAGGTGCTAGGCAGAAGCACATAAAGAAATGGTCAAATGATTTGAAACTGATTTCATGACAAATAGGTGAATCAATGCATATGTATACCTCTAAGCCAAGCATGTGACTATTGGAGTCTTTGCAAATTAAAGAATAGTACCCATCAACGCTGAGGTCAGAAGAAGGAATAGCAGAATTTAAATTAGTCTCACTAAGAGCAAGCAAGTGGTGAATTTTGCGAAAGGTAAGATTCAACTGATAAAAGGTTGCTTAGCAGACCACAAATATTAGTAAAAGAAATAATAAAACAATTAGGTGGTAGAAATGGCTTTTTATGTTTATTATTTTGATTTACTTTTTGCATAATTTAAGTTTAAAAAGAACTTGACTCATTTATAAGTAGAGCATATCCTCCCAAGCAATGAGCAATGCAGTTTTCTCAGTCCTGTTAATTAACCCTAAGTTGTAACATAGGGCTCCTTATGTGGCCTTGACAATGCGCACCAAAAGCATTAACAGGGACACCATCCATGTGCAGAATAGCACTGTTAATATTCTGATATTTGGCAACTGTTGATGGAATCAGCCTCTCTGAGAGCTACCACAGAGTTCTGGAAACCTTACTACCAGCCGGCCTCAGAACCGTTTAACTGAGTTTTAAAACTCTACCCTCCTTTGGAGATACCAGGAAGAGTTGCAAGGAGGTACAAGCAAAAACCTATGAGAAAAGTTAAGAAGATTTGTTTCTCCTACCTTTTGCCAAAAAAGCACACTCTACAAGGCAACAGGGCATGGGGGAGGTGGTACTGGGTTGAATAATACCAGTAGCAGGGTGATTGTGATGATCCTGAACCTGAGCTTACCTGAATTGGCTACATTGTATAAAGATTGTTGTTTAAGGTTGTTTTTTTTGATAATTCTTTTTAATTCTTTTTATCTGATAAGTACTTTCAAGATCTAATGTGTTTTTTCAAATGAGTTTATATTCAAACTAAGTTAATTTAAAACTGAGTTTATATTAAAACAAAAAATTAAAGTTTTCAGAAAGAAAACTTAGATTAAATTAAGTAAACAAAAAATGAATTAAGGCTAAAATACCTGAAATATAAGGATAAATAACAATATTGTTTTTTATATTAAAGAAATTTCAAATATATCAGTGAAAGATTCTATTTAAAAAAAAGTTTTTATATTTTCATTTTGTAAATATTTGAAATCATTTTCACATGAATTTAAACATGTTGGGTTTTATATAATATTTTGTTTTGAAGCTTTATTTTAATATATTTTGAATATAATGGTTTGTACTATTAATTCATTCATTAATAAAATTAATAAATGAATTAATAGTTAGTTACTCACTGGGATAATTTATGTAAAGTTTTAAACAAACAGTAATGTTTGATGTAGTTGGTGTTTAAGAAAAGCAGTTATATTTGATGTAGTCAGTGTTTTAATTAAACAGTAATATTTGATGTAGGTGTTCTATAGTTATAATGACTTTTTAATGCTTTTTTTTTGATACAGGGAGACATTGAAGTAGAATTGTACTGGAAGCATGCACCAAGAACTTGTAGAAACTTTGCAGAGTTGGTATGTTTTATTTATTATTATATCATTTAAGAAAATTTTTTACATAGTACACAAATTTTACATAGTTCACAAAGTAATATCAAATTATAAAACATAAAAAACATAATTATAAAATATAAAAAAACATAATTATAAAACATAAAAAATTTTTTTTTATAGTTATTAACAAAATTAATGTTAGTAGTTTTAAACTTTTTTATGTTGATTAATTTATACAATATTATAATTTTTACATATATATATATATATATATATATATATATATATATATATATATATATATATATATATATATATATATATATATATATATATATATATATATATATATATATATATATATATATATATGAGGGTATTATCATGTTTACATATATATTTATAAGGATATTATAGTTTTTACATAAAATTTTAATTAGACAAGAAGAGGTTACTACGATAAGACTAAGTTTCACAGAGTGATACCAGTATGTATTTACATTTAATTAGATTCATTAATGTACATATATATATATATATATATATATATATATATATATATATATATATATATATATATATATATATATATATATATATATATATATATATATATATATTATATATATATATATATATATATATATATATATATATTTATATATATATATATATATACACAATTTTAAAATTATATTTTTGCTTGTTGCTTTATTATTTACTTGCTAATCTTTTTTTTCCTCAGAACTTTATGATACAAACAGGAGATCCAACAGGAACAGGCAAAGGTGGATCATCAATTTATGGGTCAGAATTTTAAACTCTATAAATGTAAATCTAAAATTTGTATAAATAATTTTTCAATTTTTTCAATTTTTTATTACAAACAATGATGTTTTCATATTGAAATAATATTTTTCCATCAGGCATTATAGTTGTTTACTTTTTGTAATTGCAGCAGCGCAATTGGCTATAACAATATTTATTAGTTTCCGATTGGCTTATAGTTATTGTTGTTTTAATGGACAAATTTTTAAAATGCTTATGCATATGTGTATGAAAAAAAGTAATGATTTAAGATGCATTCAAACCAATTGCAATAAACCAGGTACAAAATAAGGAAAAAATTATGAAAATCTTATTAAGTGATTTTTTTGGTAAAACTATTCTGTAGAAAACCCTGATCTGCCTAATATGTTATGTTCTTATAGCAGAAAAAATTTAGTGAGTTTATAGAAAACAAATTCAAAAAAAATAGTTGTTTCTATTGCAGTAGTTGAACCAAAAACAACTTTTCACACTCAAAACTGAAACAACTACAGAGCAAACTTCATATAGGGTATAGATTGTCTGTTACAAAATTCAAAAAATATAAATTATTTAAAAAAAAAAATACTTTTTTTGAACATTTGTATCAAATATACTAATGACTATCAGATGTTAGAAATTTCCCAGTTTAGTGAGTGAAAGGAAAAATTGAGTAAAAGGAAGAAGATTGAGTGAAAAGGGGCGATTGAGTGAAAGGAGGAAAAGGGCGATTGAGTGAAAGGAAGAGCGATTGAGTGAAAGAAGGAAAAAAATCTGTAGAGTCTTGTTTTTCTAAAAAGTTAACAGAAGAAAACAAAAATCTATTGTCTTTGTTTAATGCTGAGCTTATGCTAAGATTCAGTCTAAACAGGATACCAGAGATAATAAAAAGGTGGTATTACTAAATTATATATAAATATATATATATATATATATATATATATATATATATATATATATATATATATATATATATATATATATATATATATATATATATCCAGCTGGCATTTGGTCCTAAAAAGACATCTTTTGAACATTCATAAGACGTCTTTATAGAACCAAATGCCAGCTGGGTAGTGTTTTACTTTAACTAGCTTCACTAAAAAGCTCCATAAAAGTAATATATTTTTATAAAATAATATTTTATGCAACATTCCCTAGTAGCAAACAATATTAATGCAATACTGTGTACATACTTTACATGCTGTAAACATGCTGTAAAGAATATTGCGCCAATATTATTTGCTACTCCGATTATGATTTTATATTTTGATTAATTTAAAAGTATAATGATTTATTTTGAAAATTCAAATAAATAATTATCCTCGGACTTAAAGTTGTTTTGTTTAGTGTGTTGAAAGAACTATTCCTGGTGTAATAGGCAATAATGTTAATGAGTTTGTTGCAACAGCTTTGCAACATAGATATCTTGAACCAGAGAATGTTGATGTTAAGATTGGGGTAGATGGAGGGCAAGGCTATCTAATAGTTACCAATGGTTACCTTATCAATTACATTCAAGTAAGAGCTAGAAGCGCATTCAAGTGAAAAAAAAGAGTGAAATATTCTGATGAGTATAGATGTAAAGATCTCAAGTACACTAGTGTTCACAAAATTTTAGTTTTAACGTTATTACCCTCTATTGATGAAAAAAAAGATAGCTAACTTTAAAAAAGTAATAAATTTTTCGATGTTTTAACTAGAAAGCCCAAATTGTTATCAGAAGTTATTTCTAAATACAATCCTCAAAGAGTCAATCCAATAGGTCAAACAACTAAACATATTGTATACAACTATATGGTCCACTCGCAGGGGTCTTACGGTAAGTCAGAGGGGCATTAACCTCTAGTTAAAATAAGTCTTATAAATTAGTTTTCTCAAAAAGCTACCAAAAAAGGATTTAACTTTTGATAGTTTTGGTATGTGCACATGGACTACTCTCAAAAATCAAAAAAAAAATTTCATGGGATATGATATAAGGTCTTAGGTCACCTTCAGGGTACCCATGCAAGTATTGTTTTAAGAATTTATTTTTATAGAAAATATAGAAAATATTCATCTAAAATTGGTACCCTTCAAAACATTTGTGTATCAGATTTAGGATAAGAGCATAGGCCTATTCTGGATACTAAAATGGGGTATAAGTATGTAAGGAAAAAGTTCTGAGTTCAATTCCCACCATGTCCCTGGTAGTACCATGCTCAACTTGTTTTTCCACGCAGCGGCCTTGTTTATCAAGGTTTGTGTTTTGGAGTTAATAAGGGTTGTAACCACAATTATAGTAGCCTCCTCGATTGTAGTGGCCTTCTCGACCTTAGGGAGATGGATTAACATTATTAAAAAACAAAACAAGGATGGAATTCTTTAATCAGTATTTTAAATTCTAAAATTTGAAAAATGTTATTAGAGAAGTTCTTGTGGATATACTCATCAACAAATTTACTTTTTTTACTTAAATTTACTGTTCATTTTCAAGAGTTAAGTCTAATAAAATCTGATAAAATTTGTTTTTAATTTTACAAAATGTTAGATAGCAAAATACTAACATAGGTAAAAATTGCTTTACTGTTGTCTCTAAAAGAATTATTGAAAGAAAAAATTGCTGGTTTGTTGCGCTATAATCAACCGCAATATTAGCTGGTAATTTTAAGTGTGATTTAAAGTTACCTGGATTATACAAAATCCACATGGCTTTAAATCATATTCTGAATTACCAGATACCCTTTTCAAATACCAGAATAAAAATGAAATTGCTCAAGAAATATATGTACATTTCTACATGAGGAAGTAAAAGCAGCATGAGAGTCTGATATTGAATCTACTTGTGATGTGGAACCTATAATAAAAAAACTAAAGCTGAAGAATTAGCAGAAATAATATCAAATATCTTCAATTTTTTGGGCTGCCCCCTTTTTAAAACTTTAAACTTTTAAGCTGCCCCCTTTTTAATTTTTGAGATTTATTAAATAAGAAATAGCAGTACTTGAACAATGGCAAAAAACCAAGATCTTTAGAAAAGATTTAAAATACCACACTAAACCTTCCTTTAATGAAGCAGAAAGAAGTGCTGGTTTTCTTTGTTACTAAGTTAAGAAATAGTTTAAATGATGACACAAAAATTTTTTTTTTCCTGATGAAAAGAGACATAAAATCATATGAAGTTGCATTTGTAAAAATTTTAAAATTGATAAAAAATTGATTAATTTTTGGAAAATTAATTGTTAATCTATTAATTTAAAACTAGCTGTCATGACCCATACGATACAAGTCATGGTAAATCTGTTCCACACCCGACTATATCTAAACTTGTTTTTAATTTGGTCTTCTTACATCAATGAACTTTAATAAACAGCAGAAAGTCAACCAATTTAAAATTCTTGGCTTTTTGATTAATATTTTAAAAGCCTCCCATTGAGATTTCTGTAGAAAGCAAAGGAAGACACAAAAACGGGTTGCAGATCCTAGTTATGTCATTTTGTGATTACAAACAGACTTTACTATGTGTTTCATGTCAGTACATTGCTTGGCAAGCAAGGACAAGACTCTTGCTGTAAACAAAACCAAGTCATGCCACTTTGAAACCATGGAAACAACATAATAACCACTTACAAACTATAAATACATAACATAATACATTATACACATAGAAACACTTATATAACAGTCATTTACACATTTGTTACAATTACCAAATATATTACAAAATATAACCTTAACACATATATAAACACATAATAAATAAAACACATTACCGCATCAAATGACACATAAAAATACATACCAAAAACTATAAGTTATAGTTAAATTTATAAAAAATGAGGTGTTTAATAGTAAAACAATAATTATTTATAGCTATATTTAGTGCATTGGTAAATAAATAAAGGCTACAAAAACAACATTGTTTGTGTAGCATTTATTAAATGGCATACATTTTGATAAATGTTCATCAATTTTAACTATCTTGTTCTTGAACATGTAACATAGAGTTGACCGTTTGAGAAGCAAGGGTTTTGGAGATAAATACCAAATTTATCAAAAGTTTGACCTTGACTTCTATTTATGGTCATTGAGTATGCTAATCTTACAGGAAATTGATGACATTTAAGAGTAAAAGGTTAATTTTGAATCGGATTTTGCAAACTGAACCCAAGGAACAAATACCCTCTTGCCAACTGAAACACCTGTTAGAACTTGCCCAACAATTCAATTATTTTGTAGAGCACGTACCATCAATCGGGTCCCATTGCTAAGTCCAACTTTAAGATCTAAATTTCTAAGAAACATTATAACAGCACCAATTTTCAGATTATGCAATGAACAGTCTTACTCCTGATGGAGTTTATAAACTCTTTAGGAAAATTATTGATTTCATTAAAACCATCTGTTTCAATAGTATCAGCACTTAAATAAATTTTAACATTACTTGGTAAACTGTCCAAGACTTCATTTATTATTAACGAATCTACATTAGTGGGTATCAAAATAGCACATTTTGCATAATCATCTTTTTCTGCAACTCCAAAAAACTTGTCTACTATAGATTCATTTTCCCCAAGCAAGCACTGCTCATGAATTTCAATGCACTTGCGAAAGGAACCGTCTGCTTTTAAAGGTAATGTTCCACTACCAAATTTTAAGAGCCATTGGGAGAATTCCTCTTCTTTGGCCCAAACCCTCATATTTTCTGTTAACGAAAAATTGCTGAACATATTGCCAATTTAGAGAACTTTTTATACAGGCTTCACAGGCTTGGTCGGGAAGCGGGAGCGATCGATCTCGAATACTGACCACGGAAATTATATTTAGTTGCGTAAAACTGGCCAGGTTTTTTAGTCATTTAAGTTTATTTATGAAACAAAAAATTTTTGTTTTACGGACATACATGGAAACATAAAAAACTTGAATGTCATTGTGCGCAAGAATAAAAAGAATATTTGAGAGCACTAAAAACCCGCCAAATTAACGAACAAACTAATTCTATAGGTTCAAAAAATACG